ACTCACAACCCTGGGTTTAGGAGGCCAATGCTCAAACCACTGAGCTATCCCTCCCCCCTTTGTGGGATTTCAGTCTAGTATACACATTACTTGCTTAACTTTTAAAAAAGAGAGAGAGAGAGACTGACTTGTATTTGGTTTTATTTAAAAACACCTATTTCACTGCTTTCAAACACAGCTTTGGGAGTGAAGTGGGGGTTGGCATAAATGAGAGATGGTATTGATTCTGACCACTGAGATATCACACAGAATCCAAAACCCTGCAAATAGTGCAGAAATATATAAAAACTTGTGAGCATAATTTAAAGGTCATAATATCATCCCCCAAAAGAGTTGACATTTTTAGACTGTTTCACGGCACAGCTAGCAACATCACTGATAACAGCAGTAGCATCTACACCAACTTTGCCTATAGTAAGGGACTGAGAGGAGAGAAGAGATTTTCCCTACATGTAAATCAATCAGGTTTCCTCAACAGAGCATTCATCTGGACCAATGAGTTTCCCACGGCTGAGTGCTGTGGTGTTCCAGCATAGATTTTCTGATCACTTCTTTAGCACCCCTCACCCTGAACAGGCAGAGTGCTGAAGTCTATAAAGCTGCCCAGAAGCACAGCCCCCTCACCCTTTCCCATCCCGAAGCCCACCCAATCTGGAGAGGGAGCACTGATGAGAGATGGGTCACAGAAGTAGTAGATCAAAAGATCTAAAGAACATACTGTCTGCCCTGAACATGAAGGGAGCTCAAAAAAATGCTGAGTTCCTAACACTGGCTAATCAGCAAGGAACTAGGTAGCAAAGCATGATGGAATCACCCCCTGAAAACTGTAATTAAAAGTTTCTATAGCCTCCCAGTGAGCAGCCATGGGCTTTACTGTAAGAAGCCCTTTTTCCTGCCCCAAGAGAGGCGGACCACTCTCTGTCTTGGCCTGTTCCAACTGGTCTCAAATAGAGATGTACAAAACCGGTCTTTTTAATATGTGAAAATGTTTGCGCAAATATTTTGATTTTGTTCAGTTTTTTAACCATATTTGTATTTTGATAAAAGTTTCCATGGAGCGGGGGTTGGGGGGCGCGGGGTGGTAAAGAGGATGCATGTATGTTTTAAAGAAAAAGCAAACTGGAAAAAGCCCTACTGTTTCACTTCCTCTCATACTTTTGTCCATTGGAAAAAGTGTAAGAGGAAGTGGAAGAAAAAAAGTCAACTCTCACTATTTTTCCCCCACTGAGGGGAAGTCAAAGTATTACACTCTCTCACTTTAAAAAAAAAAAACGTTGGAGGCTTTTTGGATTGGCTGTGCAATCTCAATTCAGCCTCCTTGAGCATTGCGGTACAATCTTTAATCAGATGATCACAAACTTTTTTTCTCCGCTTCAAAAAGTGCACAGGATGGATGGTGCTCTGGGAACGAAACAGGATTGTGTAGTGAATGATGTTATCTGTAGGACCCTGACTCAAACTCAAAGTTGGAAGGTGTGTGATGAATGAGGCAGGGGATTGCAGGAAGAGAAAGGCTGGTTTTGTGATCAGGGCAGTTTGAATGCCATCCCAGATTACTGGTTTCTATCCTTGCCTCTGCCAGAGTTCCTGTGTGCTGCTGGGCAAGTCACAAACCAAAATGTGCACAGGCGGCCACTGTGTGTTCCTAATTTTCTAGGTATCAGCTTGAGACACACATGCAAATCAGACCTCAGAATTCTGAGAACTCACAAATGCAACAGAGATCAATGGGAGCTCTGCTCCAAAACATGTAAGTGCTGTAAAATCCCAAGTACTCTGAAAAATCAGGCCCAAGATATCAAAAGTGTTAACTAATTTTGGGTGCCCAATTTGAAACAATGTCGGTTTTATTCTCTGTGCCTTCATTCCCTTCAGTAAAATGAGGCTAACGCTATCAGCTTGCCCTACCAGGGTGTAGAGATGATGAAATCATTAATGTTTGTAATGAACTAAGATGCTACAATGAGAACTTCATAAAAAAGCCAAAGAAAATTAATAATTCTGTATTCAGGGCAGGCAGGATCTGGATGGTGTGCAGTGAATACTGCATGGAACCACAAACACTGAAGGATGAGGATCACAAAATATTGAATAGCTGCTCATTCAGTGAGCAGTGTCCCGTATGCTGAATGAGGCAGAGGTCCTGTGGAAAAAATTGTATATGATCACGTCATTCAAGACTTATAATATATACGCACAAGGGGCCACCTTAATTTTGATGTTTTCTAACTTTTGAGTGCTTGACTTTACCAGCTTAATGTTCTTTTAATGTAGTTTAGGCAATATATAATTGTAATGAAAAAGGTTTATCCCAATGTCTGATACAGATGTTCAGTTCCACAGAGGATAAAAAAAATTATGGAGGAAAAACTCCTTGCATAAACATTTAGGAATTGAGACCTGTGAACCTCAAAGAATGAAATAAGACAGTGTCCTCTGTATGAACCTCTCCTGCAGATGACTTCAAAAGTAGGAAGAGAGATCCCAGCCATGGATGGAGAGTGAAGATACTTATTTTAAAGTTAAAGACAACAATATATACACCTTTCCTTTATCTCCACCTCCAGGGCAGGACAAAGCAAGTCTGATAAAAGCACGCACACAGACTGAAAGGAAGAATGCATTGTGAAGGAAGCTACAGGAGTTCCAGAAAATATCTCCCATTTAATGGTTTCCGTAATCACACTTCAGAAATATTTCTGACTCAGTGGTAAAATTAGTAGTCTAAAGGATATTTTCCTATTATCTTATCAAATAAATTTCTACTGTCATTTTACTTCAGAATCATGGACTGCACACAAATCCATACTACTTATTGCCTGAAAAAGTAAAGGGTTTAAAATAAATCTTACACATTCAACATTATACTTTTGTACTACACAGTTGGTGTCACATGTAATTTTTCAATGAAGTAATGACTTAATGGGATTTTAATTTTGTTTATTTCTGCAATGTGAATTTCAATCCTTTCTGACTAATTGAACAGCTGCTGGTAACTAAAGTAGAATCTGCTTTTTGATAACAGTACCCCTCAACTATAGTCAGAGTAAAGGATCTTTATAAAAATGAATGTTCTCTATTGTGTTTTTAAGAATCTTTTTAAAGGATCTTCAGCTGATCCTCTTGGCAGTACAACAACCCTTGACAAATCTATTTAGGCCTGATTCCGCAGTCCATTCCTATTCAAAGCACGTGTTTAAAATAACCGCTAGGCGTAGAAAGTACTAGGTCAAAAGGAGACTTCTCCCATCAACCTACCTACCCCCTCTTGGGGCAGTGGAATACCTACATCTACAGGAAAATCCCGCGCGTCACTGTAGGTAATGTTTTCAACTGAAGCACTACAGTGGAGCCGCTGCAGTATTTTAAGTGAAGACAAGCCCCTACTGTGTATGTTAAGAATTAACATACTAGGTAAATACTGTGGCAGAGCACTGCCTATGAACACTGCTAGTGCTCAGACTCAGGAGGGAAGGGAGCATCTCAGGAGCTCTACAACAGATAGGGAAAGGGAACCTCTTATGTTTAGAGCTCAGGAGCTTTACAGGACTTTAGGGACAAGGTACCTCTAACCCTGCAGAGCTCAAGAACTTCAAGGAACAAAGAGAAAGGGAATGAAGCCACAACCACACACACTACGCACTCTAATTCAGCCCCGAAGGCATTCATGTCAAGTCAGACAAATCTGGCTAGTCATGTATTGAGTGGCATGTGGAAGGATACAGTAGAGTACTCTGGTACTGTATTAGTCTGAACACAGTGAATCTCTAATTTTTAAGTGTCATCTAAAATAAATGATAGTAAAATGAAAATTATAGTTTTTATGGGGACAATATTTTATGATTTCTTCATAAAAATGCATTATATTGATACATATGAAAACACTATCAAAGAAGGCAAACACCATCAAAGAAGGCAGCTAAAATGGGTAAGAATTGCTTTCTAGATTTCTATTTTCACACACTATTGGCTGGATATAGATTTTTCTTTTAACTTCTCCATCAGAGAGAGGTAGTCTTTTCTACAATTTTATTAAAGAGTTCCAAAATTTCTACTATTTACATTTCATTAGCCTGATTCTCAGTATGCAGGCCACCTTCTTAGGATAATTCAATCTATTTTATATAAACAAATGAACAAACTATTGGATTTCTTGTATTGTCCGCAAAAGACTATAGCAATAATTATTAACACAAATAAACAACGCTACAAATGGTGAAACAATACATACAAAACGGCTACACAAAATTTACTCCACAAAAGGTTACTGAGATTTAAGAAAACAGGTCAAGTGATCTCTTGTTAATTTCAAATCCTTTAACTATGATCTTTGATATAACCAACAAATTAACCAGTGGAATTCGGCACTGCTTGGACAAGATCAAACAATTTTACCGTAAAATAGATGCTCTCTCATTTACCCTGATATTACAGATCTTTCTCATTTATAATCCATAGTGAAAAGGGTACATTTTCAAACCTCTCTAATGATAAAGTTCTCTAAACTGTATCTTTGTTACAATCATTACTAGAATTAAATAAAATATTTCAGTGCTCCCAACTCATGATTTTATTTTGTCTTGTAATAATTGGTGCTATTTTTAAACCCCCAGCTTCCTGGAGTTGTGTGAATACATGAAAATCTCAGCTTTCATTTTTAAAGTATGTTTCTAGCCCTCATGGATGTAGAGAAAAGCATGAAAATGTGTACCCCTAAAGGCTAGAAAACCACAAGGCAAATAAAAACAACCCAAAATGTAATTTAAAAAAAAATCATTATTTTAAAGTCAACTGTAATTTTTTGGAGCCTGACTCAGGTTTTTTGAACATTTGGGGCTGGCAATACTGACATTAACACATCTTTCTACGCATCTAGCTTACAAAATAGCTAGCTCTCCAAAACACTTTTCTTGTACCAGATTCTCTGAGTGCTGCTTTCCTATTTCTTTAACATATGTATAGTAATCAAAATCATCAGTTAAACAAATTTATACTCTTACGGTACCCTCCAACTCTTCTGTCTCTGTTCTGATCATTTCTCAGTCTTCACCATGCAGTGAAATTAGCTCCACTCCCATCAATGAAGTTGCTGATATATTTTCCTTGTGGACTCTCTGATACTGATAACTTTACTACCAAAAAAAAAAAAAAAAAAGAAAAGCAAAATCAGCAACCCCAGCACCAATTTTGTGTATAAAGCTTTTCTTCTTTTCAACTTCTTTGCAAATGCCAGTTCCAAGCTCTGTCTCTCTCTCATGACACTTCTTACTTCCACAACATGCAACAATTTGGCTACAGCACAATACAGCTTTTTATTAAATCCTTCAGCTGTTCACATAGAATTAAACATCTGCACATTACCATTGAAGGCAGCTCTCAATTAACTGTGAAATAAACATGTGTTTTTGTCCCAGCCTCGCTATCACTTTCTGCTCTCTCCAGTTTACACTGTAGATTGAAATAGGAAGGCAAATTATTTCATGAAACAGAACCACCAGAAAAAAACTGAAAGGCAAGCCAGCCCTCAGCAGCATAGTCCATTAAATAGCTGCAGTCTTGTCAGCTGCTCAAGGCTGGAGTAAAATCTTATACTGAAAGGAAGGAGGAGATGACATCATACACTATCCTTTCTTCCTAGCAAGATCCACCCACTTCACCCGAGCTCAGTACTATAAATCGCATAGTGTATTTCTACACCGTTGACAGTGTACAATAAAATAAGAAAAAAATTATAGAAAATTGCTTTGCAAGAAAACACCCAGGTGATGCTCTAAATTTTAGTGTATTAAGTGAATTTGAACAATTTTCTTAATATTAAACATATACCTAAGAAGTATCTGCAAAACTACATGTGCTCAATATGTCCCAACCTACAAGCCTTAATTTAACCACTTTTAAATACTTATTGAGCAACTTCAAAACCCTAAAGAATAACAATCCCAAAACAGTTTGTTACATGGGGGGGTAAGGAGGGAGCTTATAAAAAAGATTCTAGAGGTTCACTCACCATCATGAACCAAGCTTTCCTGGAAACTTTTAAACTGGTAATTCTCTTTTATTCCCCAAAGCCTCACCCTTTGCATAACACCACGCATTGCTATTAAGTGGAGTATGATAAACATGGTTGCATGCTTTTCACAGCTCCCTTCATACCAAGCGAACAAACGTTGGTTACAATTAGTAATCAAATGCAAACAAATCGCACGGTTACTCATCCTCTTAGAATAGATTATCTGTTTCAGCAAGCCGTCCAACAAAATCCACCTCCTTTTTGAGAGGGGCTTTCAAAATGCTTTAAAATGTAGTTTACTTCATGATAGCTTTCACAACTAGTTAATTCTGGAATGGATTAAACATATATCACATGATCAGTTAACCTACAGGTTAAGGCATAGCACCACTTATTTACATTTTAGAGCGTTTATCCCCCAAAATTTTTCAGATGTGAATTCAAACCAAAAATCAACATCTGCCTGGTTAAGAGCCCAACGGTTGTTTTCATTTTTTACAAACCAAATGTAACTTTAAAAAATGCACTTGAAAAAGGTTATTTACTGAAAGTCATTGAGTTTAGTGCTGTACAAGACACAAGACAATCTGGGACTTCACCAAGGAGATTATAATCTACATAGATGGACAACATGAAATGCATTGAGAAACAGAGGCAGGTTCTACCTTCCAACCTTTTCCTCCAAAACAAAAGGTTACAAAAACCATCAAACCTTGGAAATTAATACAAATTTAAAGTGTATTTCTATTCTGGAAAGTAACTATGTAGAAATAGCAATTTCTTAGTCAATTAGTTCTGATCCCTGCTTATATTCAGTCATATATGCTAACTTTAAAGACAAAAATAAGTTTTCCCTGAATGGACTAGACAGCCAACAAAGCAATCTGGATTCTAATCTCCTCCCTACACATAAATTAAATAGTTAACTAAATTCCACTTGAAAGTCAAATTCCAGCCTATTTTATAGTTGTACTACCTGAGGACAGAATCTGGCTTGCAGAATCTTTTTGACTGGCAATGAAACATTAACAGGAAATTAAAAAAAAAATCATACTGCTACTTGTAAACTGAGCAGACAAACATGGAATCTCACAATGTCAATTTTACAGTCTCTTTTCAGAGTAGAACCACACTGAATGGCCATGTAGAAAAGTTCTTGTTTAGCTAAAATTGCAACACAGGTACTACAGATGGTACAGTAGTAACCAGCTCACATTACACTGCTCTACAGCCAAAATGCTTCTGAAATAAATGTAGGCAACCTTTACTAATTCTGGGTCACTGAGAACGAAAACGATGCTTAAAATTGTTGATTGGCTCTAGTTTTCAAGATATGCTATTGGGTCAGTATATACGACCCTTGACTTGGGAATGGCGGAGGATAAGTGAGTTATAAAGGAAAGGGATCTCAATTTAAACCAGAAATGACTAAAATACATCTTTGACTGGATCTATGAATAAATCTATGACTGGGTTTGGACAGTACTTGCTTTTTAGGCAAAACAATGAATGATGCAATCTGAAGCTGGCATTGCGTCATACAGGATATGAATTGTATCATGTTATTCCTAGAAGTCATGGATGATGCAATCATAACGAAGCTTACATCACTCTGCTGATCAAATTGCCCTATATCAGCTCTAAAAATCATACAGTGTCGTGCTCTCTTATTTGTCAGTGTTTGATTTTGCAAAGGGACACATTTCTGTTTAGTCAAAGTGAGCAGAGATGCCTTGTACTTGTGTGAACAATGCAGATAACTTCTGCTATGTTTGTGGTGAAGTGACTTTTGCATCACAAAAGCTCAGTATAACCATTATGGTTAAGAAAGCCTATCACCTTTATTTTGGCTGCAAAATTGGATATCAGGACAAGAGGTGGGCCCCACACATATGCTGCAACACTTGTGCAACAAATCTTCACCAGTGGTTGAACAAGAAAAGGAAATCTATCCCTTTTGCAGTGCCAATGATTG